GTTGATAGTACAAGTTAAAGGTTGTGTATAGGTTACACAGTAAACATAACAACACAAGCCCACATCAACTCCGATTCTAGTGGGGTTGTGTTGACGTACTACTAAACCAATGAGAAGTTAAACTTTTCCCATTGGCCTGATGGATTGCTTACTGATCGTCCAGCTATGTTAATCTGTCATTTGTGAATCGCTTTATTGATATTCGTCTGTTATATTTCGCGCTTTATTTGCCTCTTGTCCAGTGCTCATCGCACCATGCAAAACAAAACAAGAATGTTGAGACTATTGTCCAGAAAATGTACCAGAAATAATTTTTAAATTAGGGTATACATCTACCTTGCAGAAAATATAACGTTAAAAAACAATTTTTGCAGCGGGTGTTTTGTGTACAGCCAAAAAAATTTGATTTTGATGTGCTATGCAATGAAAAATAATCTATATACATGGAAAGTGTACCAAAAGAGCAATAGATAGATTTCTAAAACAAAAAAGGGTGTGTCACTGTAGTCCTATTATAAAAGACAAGTATGAAGGTGTACTTTGGATTCTCACAGCTCGTCGAGAAAGTTTGTACTTTGTGTCTCGATGGAGGGCTTGGTTGCCATTATCCACGCAGATTGTTTCTCCAGGGACTAACAGGTATTCAGTCAGCTGTGTATAATTCGGAATGCTTCGTTAGAGGCTCGTGGGAGTGCCTTCTAAGTAGGCGTGTGTCACACGATGGATACGAATGGAATCTTCGCAGTCCGAAGGGAGCAGGTTTAACTGAACGCATTGTGTTTGTAAGTCGGCTGACGTACGAGGCGTGGGCAGATACAGGATGGAAAACTTTCAACTGGCAGTGGTAGCATTGCTCCTTAGAGAAGCTCAGCAGGAGTACAACCATCATCAGTTTCCAGGGCATTTTGGATGCCGAGGGGACTAAAGCTAATGATACAGCCTAATGTACAGTGTTCGCGGTTGATAACCCGGGGTTAAATTCTCGGTGTATTTGTTCTACCATACAATTTGCTCAAGGGTGGTGGGCTAAGGAGCATCCACCAAGGATTTGAGTTAAGGCAAAAAATAAGCCGCTTTCGAATTCCGGCCCGCGATCAGTTGTTATGGAGGATGGGTATACAAAATTCGCGGTCCATCATTTTACGGAGACGCTTGCGACCGTTTCGGCAGATATATCCTTGAGGAGTAGTGCTTTAGGTTGACCGTGTGGTACGGTCAATGCAAGTCAAGATATAGTTACATCCATGGGATTCTGGAAGGGGTCCAGCCAGATCTACATGAACGTGTTCGAAACGAGCATCTGGGGTAAAAAAAAGGTCCCAAGAGGGCTTCTGGTGTGTTCGGATACCTTGCACTTTTGGCAGGCTAGGCACTTATGAGTCCATTCTCTTACTTCCTTATTAACACCAGGCGAACAAAACCGACTACTAACGAGATTGGCGGTAGTTCGAGCACCTTGGTCAGATAAGTCATGCAACATATTGAAGACGCTACGGCGATGACTTTGAGGCACGATGGGGTGAGGAGTACTCATGGAAATGTCACATAGAATAGTGTCTCTTCCTATGCCTAAGAGTTTCTCAGCTAATTTCAGAGTTGTTTTCGACAACTCATGTTGGATCCAAGCATTTTCTTTTTGAAGACGAGCCAGTCCTACAAGGTCTATATCATCTATTGGACAAGAGAACAGTTCGCAACAAGGCATCTTCCACAGTGTTGTTCACTCCGGATGCGTGGTGAATATCCTATGTAAACTGTGTAACAAAGTCCAGTTATCGTGATTCCCTTGGTGAAAATTTATTTGAAGTTCAATTCAGAAAGTACGTGTTTAGTGAAAATTATGGAGTCAGGGCCTTCCTCTGAGTGTTGGAAATTGAGCATAGCACTGTACACATTTCGAAGTTCTCATACCAATGTGCAGTAATTTACCTCTGCTAACTAAAGGCATCTCGACAAAAGGGAGAGGCGTTGCCAGTTGTCATTGACAAACTACTGAATAGTTGCACCGATTACAGTGTCGGATGCATCAGCCGAGATACTTGACGGTGCCGTTGAATATTGATAAATAAGTAGGACAGCATCCTCAATGGCCTTTTTGAACTGAACGATAGCATTTCAAGGGGAGGCGTCAAGGTCAGTGGAATTGTTATGCCCTCGAAGGTCTCCCAGCGGTAGAATAGAGGAGACACAGTTGAGAACAAACCATTGGTAATAGCTTACCAAACTACTAAATGCTCAGAGTTTTCACCGTATTCGGCTGCGGAAAGTTCAGAGTCACCTCAGCTTTACTAGCCAGTGGGCGAATACCCTTGCAGTCAATGATTTAGGCCAGAAAGTCGCGTGAGTCAACGCCTATCTAACACTTTTCATTATTAATGGTTACACCATGTAGGCGTAACCTTTCAAACGTCGTCCAAGTGTCTAAGATGAGTTACCTTTTCTGGACTGGCAATAAGGCAGTCGTCTAAGCATGCATATACAAAGTCGAGACCGCGAAATACTCCGTCAATGAAACGTAATGTTTGTGCTGCATTCCGGAGACCGAATGGCAAACGTAGAAATTCAAAAGCCCAAAAGGCGTAATGATAGTCGTTTTCGGAATATCTTCTGGTGCCATCGGGATTCGGTTATACGTTTTAATCAAGTCTACTTTAGAGAATATAGTTGCATCAGATAATGTTGCCGTCAAGTCGTGTGTATGAGGCAATGGGTAGCAATCAGGAAAGACTTATAACAGAATCGATATTCATTAAAGTCACACCGGATACATGTAACAAGGGTAACTCAGTACAACTATCAACAACTTGGAATATAATTCTGAATACAAAAACATGAATGAGCAAAAAAAAATAATGAACTATATATATGAGTACAAATCATAAATGTGTGAATAAAACAATTCCAACAGTGGTGTGAACACGGGCAGTAATTTGGCTCGAAATATTACCAATAACGAAACTTATCATTGTGTGTAAACTATTGAAACATAATTATGCTTTATTTAACTAGTAGATGTTAGCAAAAAATTATCCAAGTTTTGAGAGAGGGGTGGAAGTAATTATGGAGTTCAAGATCAATTAATTCGTTGGGGTTGGCAGAAAAAGCTCTTATACAGTTAATGATTTGTAAAATAATTATTACTAAAATGAATAAATGAATAGGCCAAGATACAAATAAGTTGATTAAATTGTCCGGAATGATAATCACCGTAAAACCATACCAGATGATAGTTAATAGGATAGGGGAAAATTATTTGTAACACTCTATACATATTGCTTGAATGGTCACGGTAAAGAAAGGGGCTTTACAAATTTCTTTTGAACACCGGTCTAAGTTGTTTGGGTGAATTCTGACTGCCTCTGCTGTATGTAAAAGTTGTACCTATATAGATAGCATGAGAAAAGTTATGTGAAATACAGTAAATAAATTTAAGTCTAGATGGTTAATAATAATGAACATAAAACGATTTAATATAGGGGTGATGACAAAAGATAGTTCCAGTTAGGATAATAATAATAAAAGATGGCATGAGAAAAAAGTAAGAATGACTTTTGGGCAGTAAAAGACTGATATGTAACCATATATATATGGTGGCCTCTCTCTTTCTGTTGCTCTCTTAGTCTGTGACCATTTCACTTTGATGAACCTGTCTCCTTTAACAATGTATATTCCCCTTATATTATATATAATATGAGTGTTTTTTGACATGTCTGCTATATTTTGCTATGTATATATTGATCGATACTCCATTATAATTAGCCAATCATGTTAAGACTGTCTATTGATTGTTCACACACTTGTTCGGACATTCATATATATTTTTACTCGCACACTCTTGTGTGAATTGATTCTCCTTGTGTTTGGAAAATAGAAGTATCATCGCAAACCTAGTGGTTTTCTGATTTCCGTCTTTCTTGCGTCAGGACTATTAAATTATCGACCAGTACATAACAACAATTTGACGACGAGTACATAATAAAGACATTACTACGGTACATTCCGTGCATCAGTGTTTCAGAAGTAGAATGCTCGCGAACTACACATATGGCCCGAGGTTCTATCCTCAGCCGAAACACTCCTAAACTCCTCTAAGCCTATAGTAAAGCTGGTTGGGAGTGGTGCTAGTAACCCCACCCTGTAAAATATAAAACCACTGTTGCTGAAACTACAAAGCCCTAGCTTGAAGCTCTATTTCATTTTCGAAACATAAGGGAATAAAATTAAAATAAATATAATATTGGTAGATTCGAAGCGATCACTATTTCCTTATGCACACAAAGTCTCCGGGTTTAAAAATCCTGATTTAACAAGTCTCTGCTATTGCAAGCATCTTTCTGTTTGTTTTTCTACTGACAAAAGTGAATGACTTGACAGAAAAAATATGATATCTGTGGTCCATGAGGTGCTTTGTAACCGGGCTCTTTTCAACCATTTGGACAAATGCTCTATCATGTAAAGTTGGCAGTCGTCTTTCCTTGCAACCAATGTACTTGCTTCCACAAATACACTCAAACAGTTATAGGGAGTTAGAATAATCGAAGATTGGCAAGGAGTCTTTTGCCGAATGCTGGAGCACCCACTTGGTAATGTGAAAGTATATAAGTTTTCATTTAACTACTTCTTGTGCATCATGTCCATATATATATATATATATATATATATATATATATATATATATATACCTTTCTGTGTGGTACATTTGCTTTTTTTAACAACCTAATTCCTACTTACGAAACTTAAACATTCAGCTATTTATTACCTACAAACAGTTGTGGAAAACTGAAATGATGATATGCAAGAAAAAGATTCCACTGGAACCTTTTGACAGGTACAGTCCAGTACAGTTTTCTTTTGCTCAGCAAGTAAAACGTTGTACATAGTCATGTGTCAGATGAAGCTGCCGAAAATACATATTTTGATATATATCAGCCAATCATTTTAGAGAGTAACAGCTACTTCTAATTGGTCCATTAGATGTGAACTACTGGCGTATTTTGAAACCACACCCTAACTTCAAAAATCTCAAATATTATTCTGTTCTTAATAAAACAGTAAAATCGCCTTGTAAACACAGTTACTTCTTTGTTACAGAAATGACAAACAAACCTGTTGTTCCACAAAATTCCCAGACACCAACAGATGATACAGTTGAACGATTTGATCCGCAGTCGATAAGCTTACGAGCCCAGAAGAAGCTAGTCGGGAGTTTACCAAAAGGAATCATTAAATTATTTCTTGACGAATCATCGGCTCGTCTGTTTGAAAATATATTTAGTCTGATCAAGCAATACACAGGATCTAGCAAACTGGCTGCTTATCTAACGAAACAAGCGATTAAATTAAACGTTAAAGCTCTAATCTTGATATCTAATAACATATTATCAGATGAAGAATTAAATCATGCCTACGAATTCCATGAGAAATGTCATCAAGTAGCTGAGATCAGCCTTCGGTTAGGTCGACCAAAACGGCGCTTATTGCCGGGTGTTGAACCTTCAATTGATAAACTGATTCAAATGATGAAAGAAGCAAATCAGACATTAGTAGATGCTGTAAAACAACACATAAGCCAGGCTTCACAGGAAAAATTCAAGGAATTTTCTGACTTTTTTTGTCAGCGTGAATTTGTTGTTGAAGTATTCACAAATAAAAACAAATATGCAGCCCATATGGAGAAAATTTATGACGACCTTGAAGATATGATGGATCGAGGTTTATTTTAATGTTAGAAAGAGGAAATAAACAATAACTATTTGAAAAAAAAACAGACAGAAACATTATAATTTCTACCTGAAACAAGATGATAATCATAAATATGTTTCAAATGCTGCTGTGGGGCTCAATCATATGTAAACTAGCATATAAAAAATTAAGTCATTATTATGAATATATCTTTAAGTAAATTGTCATTTTATGTTTGAAAGATAATTTAATTATAATCTAGCATAACTACTATTAGTAAGTAGTTGGTTTTCAGATCGCTTTGCTAAAGTTTAACTGACTAACAGTCCACCACTTCTTGTTCAACAGTTTACAAAATCATTCATTCAAAATATTCCTATTTATATCTTACCTTGAAAGAGTATGCATAAAAATGTATAATACACATTGAATGCATCGGGCAACTAGTGTACAAAGGTAAGGAAAAACCAAATAGCTTTTAATGGTTTAAGCAGTTATGAAGTAACATTGTTTTCAGGTCTCGAGGACCACACTTAAAATGGATTAAAAAAAAAACAAGTAAAAATGAAGGCTGTTTCAGAATGTCAAATAAACATTCCCAGTGATCTATCCATCCAACTCCATTTAATACGGACCAATTAGAAATTGATAGAATACTAAATTTAGTTTTAATCTTTACTCCGAACAGCTTTAAGTTTCCTGATACTCTTAACATCTTATTGGTATCTTATTAGTGTGGAATATCAATAAATAATAACTGTCATTAGAACTAGAAGTTTGACGAATCTCAGAAGTGCGGTTCGCATGTTTGACTATGCCGAATAAACGCAAAGACCGAGCTGTGGATACTTTGCTGAAAGTAATATTGTATATTTTTACACAGTCAAGATGGATAGGCCTTCATCTGGGCAGCAATTGTTATTTCAGTTAATTAATTTGTTTGAGTTAGCTAGGGTTTATCATCAGCTCTTTGGGGTTTGTTCAGTGAATATTCTGATTCAAAAAGGTTTGTCAATGCTCTATGTACAGGTTATGTCCTCTCCGAAATGACTTGAAACTATCAGAAAAACAACATTAATTTTTTTTAAAAAAAACTAGTGAAAATACAACCAATGGAATCCTATAGAATAAAGGTTAAATCCAACTGAGGATTTAGTTTAAAGTGAACAGGTTAATTACTTGGGAATCTATTAAAGTATTGACTACTTTGCTATTTCCACATGGATGTATATTGTAAAATGGGTTTACTCTATATTAAGATGGTCAATGATTGTACACTCAAACCAATTTATGTAGAAACTACATTACAAAACTATGTTGTTTTCGATGTATTGTATGCTTTAACGATGAACAATACAATACAAATTGAAGTATGCGCTGAAGATGTCACCCAGTAAGGTGATGAAAGCTTCGCAAACTAACCATCCAGCTCAGAGAACAAAACCACATCAAAAAAACAATACATTTTTATTTGTCATGTGTTCACCTTATATTTCTATTAGACTCCTCCCTAAGGTGCATGAACCAATTGGAGGTGTCATACGTATTTGACTATGCGAATAGGTTGTAGCATAAAATTATTTCTTCTTGATGAATACCATTCAATTTACAGGTCAGTGATATATTACTCCTCGGTACAACACTTGTCTTGCTCCCTTCAGTAGCCATCCATCCATCCAACTCTGATTCGTTTTATAGTGAAATCCATAAGGAAATATTTCACTTTAGACCTAATCAATCAACATAATTTAAACTGAGTCTGTCTGGATAAACATTTTAATGAATTCGTAGTGCACAAAGTGTAAGAGACGAAACTAGGTACATTGATACAGTGCATACTTCAAGAAAGTCATGATATTACGTACTACTGTGGTGGGTACGAGTGGTTGGAAACCATTCACTCCAGACAGTACTGTTTGTTAGCTAGAGGTTGAAGTTATCTAAATACTTGGATTGAGCTTATCACTGTAGTAAAACCGCTAGAATTCTCACTGGTCTTTTGAAAAAAAAACTAGTACGACATAGAATAAAATTCAACATTTTAAAATTGCTTAGTTTAGGCTAAAAAAAAAATTCTTTGCAGGTCACAGTATGTGGACTAATTTATACCATAAAAGAAATCTAAGAGAGCAAATAAAATATGGTGTCCAGATACATACGAATTCGACTCAAGAAAGATTTTCCTGAGTATAAATAAATACTCTGTTGTCTTCATCATTTTCTGCATAAATGGTATTGTATTATATACAGCACACTTGATCATTTTGTTTCAATGCAACAAGTCGCTTACGTACAGCATGATTCCTATTTCAAATGTACACCACTAACTATTTCCATTTTTGGAAATTATTTGTGTGCTACATTTATCTGTCAATCCTTTCTTGATTATTTCAGTTAGTTAGCATAAGTGAAATTGAAAGGCTCAAAGTAAAACAAATTTAAAACAAATTTTTTTTCGATAATATGAAAAGTTAATTCAAGTATATTTTGTAACTGGCAAAGTTCAGGATAAAATCCGTCAGTAAATAAGTTCTTAATGTTTAATGTAGATAGCAGAAGACAGAAGAAAATGGAGACGTGCAGTAGAAGTCCAATGTTCCACTAGGAACCCAAGGGAGCAATAATAATAATAATAATGTAGATGAATAGAACACTGTTACTTCACCACTAGCTCCGGGTGTTGCTCAGTAGTGAAGTTCCACTGAAGAGTTAGTTAGCTCTGTCTTCATTACCCAGTCAAAGTGGCATCCAGCTATTATTTTTATACACAAGTTTAATTTAAATAACTAAGAAAATCCTGATAAAAATATCGGTTTACGAACTAAACATAAACGAAAGGTAGGCGTTTTTTTGTCACTACTGTGATCTTTGGTTCTGCCAAGAGGAGAATGAGTGAATCCGGAGAATATACAAGAAATGTTGGGACTATACTGTACAGACGTGAAATTACAAAGCGTCGGTGCCACAGTGGTTAGTACTCTCGCCGACCATGCACATGGTCCGAGGTTCGATCCCCTGCCGACGCACACCCGATATCTATGGTCGGCCTGCAAACTTTGGGCTACCTATATCACAGGCTGAAAATTCCATACCTGTACCAAAAGTACGGTGTGGAATCAAGCTGTAATAAAAAAAAATACTCCATATTACCAAGCGATTTCAAAAGCTGGTGCTGGTGCAGGTACTGTATAACTGTCTCATGCAAGTGTTCTTTTCAAAGTATAAAAAAGTGAAATAGTAGAATTATTCCCAACAGAAGTATGATATGGTGCTGTCATAATATTTAAAATGTTTGGTAAACACAAGTAACAAGATCTTGCAATATTTCAAGCATTTATGCAGACAGTACACTTAAGATTTAATCAGGAAGAATTCTGAAAAGTCTAACCGAGTGACCACTGAGATCTTGATTGATTGAATTCATAGGAATGCATTATTTGAGTAAAAAAGTATGGTGAATTGGATAACAGAACTCTGGTTTCTTAGCTTCTCAATCCATTTATTCTGTGTGTTAGACGTAATACGTAGGGGATAGTACCATCTGCTGACTACTAATTTGTTTTCCCCCTAACTGTCCTTATTAATGTCTTTTATTTTTAGGGTGCTGGTGGTTGAACGGCTAGGACGCTCCCCGACCATATACATGGTCCGGGTTCGATCCCCGGCCACGGACGCACTTCTTTGTCTCGCTAAACCAGAAATAATCCTGGTAAAGAGGAAAGATTGGGCATGAGGCTAGCAACCCCATCCTGTAAAAATAATCACCACTCCTACAGAAACTTCAAGCCATTAGCTTGAGGCCCTATGTTCCACTGGGGAACGTGAAGGAAAAAAATTGGCATCTTGGCCACATGACTGTCTTTGAGATGTGTCCCTCCAGCAGCTTGTAGATACCGGATTTCATTACGAAAATGAACACTGACTAGGCGGCCAAATATTTACCAAAAAAGTGTAACCACAAGCTTTGTAATTATCTTATTTGATAGTCTAAGAGATTCGACTAATTGCAGAATGCTTTTCAAGAATTAAATTCTTCAGAAGATAATTTAATTCTCTAATCTTTTCGTCAGTATTTCATACTCACGAGTTTTTATAGGAGTGAAAGAAAAAAACTTTCAGAAAAGTAAGTTGACATCTTTGCAAATATAATTGAGTGAACACCTACTTCTTCTCACTGGTTGCTCAAATCCATTTTAGTTGAGATTGTTTTTGGGAAATGAGCTTAACTAAGCATTTCATGCAATTCTGTGACGTATATCTGCATACTTTAAAATAATTTATTCTTTTAGTTTCTACCTATCAGGATTTCAGAATATATCTCAAACCATGTGGATTTCATTGGCTTAGAATCAATCCTACAGCAGATCAGTCAGTAGCAAGCTATTAAGTTGGTACAAACTATCAAATACTTCAGTAATATTTAATTACAAAAGCATTAACTCCACTTAGGTTTGAAGATTTCAGTGTAAATGAAAAGGAATTGGTCAGAGCTTACGAACTTGAAGGCAGGGGAAAACTGTTTTTCGGTTTTCGGTAGGGCTGCAAAACATTTGCCAATTATTACCTAAAATATATTGTGACTTTAAGATAATAATTTACTATCTCTTCTAAATTGACTCTATTATTCGTATTATCATTATTATTATTGTCATGGTAATGGTGTTTTTAAGTTCTCTTGCACTGATGTAAACAGTTTCAATCCGATTATGATCATCATGGTAATACTCTTTTTTATTCAATTCACGAATACTAATCATTCTAAATTGTAAAAATAATTTTACAATATGCTACTTCTCTATTTTCAGTATATAACAAAAATATAAAATTGAGTACATTAAAGAGTTTATGCATCAATATTTTCACGTATATTGTCTAGTTTTCAATTAGATATTTAGGGAGAATTCTATGCAACTAAAGAGTAATCTACAAAAGGAAGTGTAATTATTGAATTCTGTAGTTTAAATGTGTTATTTAGGTATTTTTTTTTTGTATACAGAAGAAAGTAAGTATACTTATTCACATACGAACTGCGTGTGATCAAAATTTGCCCGGATATTTGCAAAATAATATAATTTTATAAGTATACTTATTTTGAGCACTAAATGAACTTCTAAGTAGTCCGTGATTTTGTGTTTTAGTTGAATAATAAACTACTGGTTCATTGTTCACGCAAATAGTTTTATTTATATTTGGATGTTTAAAATGAAATATTATAATTACCAGTAGTAGTAGTAGTAGTAGTTAAGTCTTTCGTTAGAAATAGGTAAATTAAAAACCTGGTAGTTCCACTAGGAACCCAAGGGAATAATAATAATAATATTCTAAATTGGCACAAAACTAGAAATATTATGCTTCATTTGCAAATGGGTACACCATGATACATAAGGAAAGTCTATGTATGAACTCTTGTTCATTCCAATCACTATAAAGACAGATTACTTTTTGGACATCTATAAAACAGTTACATAGGCCGCACAGTTAGGCGTGTTTGTCGTCGAATTTCCGAACATCACTCTGCGTATTGGTGGTTAAGCAAAGGACAAACAAAATCCATTCGTAGCGCTATTTTGTCTCATTTTGTGGAGACAGAACACAAAATTAACGTTAACCATGCTTTCAGCGTCATTTGCCGAATACCTACGAATGTCAATTTTGCCTTAAGATTTCGACTACTAAATATTGCTGAGGCTGTGGGAATCCATATTAACAAGCCTAATTTATGCATCCAAAAGAAGTTAGTTCAAACATCATCATTATCTTGGCCATCAAGGTTTGAATAATTCTGAAATTTTGTGAAATTTCCCTAATTTTAGTTGATATTCTATTCGCTATTATATCTTTATTACTATTATAATTTAAGCATCTTTAATGAACTGTAATTGTATTGTTCATACTTTACAAATCGATATTATTTAAAAAACACCAATATTGTTATTAGCTACTAATGTAGAATATTTTGTATATATAAACATATATATATATATATTTGTAGAGCCGGAAGAGAAATTTATCGAAAAGAATATTCTTTGCTCGATTATTTTGTGTTTTATAGATTACTTTTTCTTGTGCAGTCACCATGATATTAAGCCCTCAATGCACATAAGTGGCATTATATATGACTAATCTTTTTCAGTTTGTTTTTTAAAAAGATGTATGAAGATAGAAAAAAGAAAATGGAATTTCGATGACTATGTATGATCGCACAATGGGACAAAGAGTATAGATAGCATTTATAAATTAAAATGGAATAACACATTGTATTATTTTCATAAATTGCTTTTGTCTATTTCAGACAGATTATGATACAAGCTGTTGAAATGTTCAAAAACCATCTACATTTTGGTTATAGGATTTCATCGTGAGCTGACATTGGTTAGAGAACCATTGAAGAACCTGGGAGTACTGGACAGCTGTTTCCTTCTAGTTTGGGACTCTTCATCAGTACGCACCCACACCACAGGGGTCGAACCCAGGACCTTCTGGTAACAAGGCTAGCGAGCTTGTAGACCATTAAGCCGCTGGGACCTGATCCAACGGCCTATGATTTCTAACTTCTGCTACGATATAGCGCGACCGCTAGCCAATGTCTTCGGCGAGTATTTGTCCTGACACCCGACCTGCTGAACCCCACTGGTCACGACTTCCCACTGGAACCTGAATAGGACCAGTCACCAGTGAGCATCTCATTGATATTCAAGTATTGGTTTGTGGGGATTTGGTTGATTGGGGGTTCTAGTGGGAAGTTGTGACCAGTAGGATGCAGCAAGTTGAAAGTGAGGACAAACGCACGCCGAAGACATTGGCTAGTGGTCACGCTATGTCATGAATTGGCAGGAGTTAGAATTCATAGGGCATTGGATCGGGTCCCAGAGGCCTAATGGTCTACGAGCTAGCTTGACTTGTAACCAGAAGTTCCTGGGTTCGAACCCTGGTGGGTGCGTACTGATGAAGAGTCCTAAACTAGGACGAAACAGCTGTCCAGTTCTCCCGGGTTTTCCAATGGTTCTCTAATCAATGTCAACTCATGATGAAATCCTGTAACCAATCAGCCAAATCCCTACAAACCAATAATTGAACATCGACTTTTTGTTTACATTCTAATAGCGAAATTGAAAAACCAAGGAAATATATAATAACATTATTTTGAATATCATAAAAATAAGTAAATTTTGAATCTCAGACGGGGTATGAGTTCCTTCAAATTTGCAGATAATGAGTGCCAGCTAGCATGAAACCTAGGTCCAAGGCTTCCTGCTGATTGCCTCCAAACAGCTGATATCGACAAATTTTCCTTGGACACGCAATGCCGGTGACTCATCGGTAATGTGATAGTCAGAACTAAGAGTATAATACATTTTATTCCTTAGGGATAAAAGTGATAAACAAACTTCGAAAACATGATATAATCACTGTTATGATCTGTGTGAGATGGTATATATAAATGTATCGTATGGTGTTTAAGCTATTGGGTGAAATTAAAAACGGGGAATTTAAGTACATTAAAAAATTCAAGCAATCTAGAGTTCAATAATTTAAAAAACTTATTCTGCTAGAATGCATTTTCAAAATCAGTACTTTTTTAGTAGTAAATTCAAGCGGTAAACGAAAAGTAGGATAAAAAGTACACGTGAAAAGCATAAACAGTAATTTTATATGGGGCGTGGCAAAAAGTTTATTTATTTCACTGAAAACAAAATTACATATCTGGGAAAAAAATGATTTTACGGTGCGATATTTTATGTTGCCTAGGTGATAATAAAATTGAGTAAATAAGTCTTCGGATTGTTATATTCATTAAGATTGATTGCTTAACTGACTTGGAGAAGACAATGGTGCTAATTGGCAAATGTTGTGAATAATTTGAGAAATGATGTGGTAACTAAAGTGTCGTTGTTACACTAGAAAAAATATCCTTAAAGCCAGCTTCATGTGGAATAAATTCTAGATTTCCTTCGAGTTGTTAGGTTTCTCATATACGAATATTTTCTGCCAAGATATATTAAATTCTTTTGGTTCGAAATGATCAGAGTGAGAAAATTTTCAAAGATGAGTTTTCCAACGAACAGTTACAATATGACATAGTATATCCCCCAGCTCCAATTATACTTACTGGACATGAATCAGAAAACAGTTAGTAAGTCAAATGAGAACTACAGCCGGATTGTCCAAAAGACGGAAAAATTTACGTCGGAATCCAAGCTGTTAAGCAGGGATGCGTGAACAGTGAACTATGGATTGTGCGCGAAGAAATGAGAGTGACATGTTGGCGTGTCCAATGGATCGGATGCTTGACTGCATAACTTCAATTTAACTGGTGAACAAGAAAACTCAATGTTGAATGATGATGAGGCCGTAGTCTAACAATTTTATCGAATTCCGATATTTAGAAGACACAGTTAAAAAGTTTAAAATTATTATCTACGCTACAAATACAACTTTTAGTTTCTACCAGTCAGTAGGTGATATTACGAAAATGTACAGCAGCAGTGTTTTAAAATGATATGTTGGTTTTGTTTGGTTTCGCAGTACAGTTTTGACGAAGTGTTCCGGATTTTGATTTGGCACTAGTAACTAGTGTGATGCGTCTAGTCCTCTGAGTGCCAACTAGCACGAAACCTAGGTCCAAGGCTTCCTGCCAATTGCCTCCAACCATCTAATACCATCAAATCAGTGTTCCGGATTATTATCTTAGTACTAACCCCGTGAAAGCTTTCCAAAATATTGTTTAAAGTTGAAGAGAATTCAATTACTAAGGTTATTTAGCACTTATGTAAGTAGATTTTATAAACTGCCTTACGCACACTGTGAAGAAGTAGGTCCTATAAGTCAAGCAGTATTTCACACAAAAATGTAGAGTTTATTACTGAATTAATGTCCGTAAAAAGTTTGAGCATTGTGGTATAGATCAAATAAAGTAAAATTATATTTCAATAGTTCACACACAATGATAAGATTTTGTTTTGGGTAATAATAAAAAGGGGTACCTAACCAGTCATATGCTCTGATGGCGTTCTCGCGACTTTTGTTGTCAGATCCGCCAAGGGCGATGGGATAGTACGCCACCTAATGGTTGTGTGCAAGGTTTGAAGAAGGCTGTGTGCTATATGCATGTGCCTCGCCCTGATAGATAACGTTAGTGCGTCGGTGGCACAGCGGTAGGATGGTCGCCGACTACGCATGTGGTTCGGGGTTCGATCTGCGGCCACGGACGCACTCCTTTACCTCGCTACGCCAGAAATAATCCTGGTAAAGAGGAAAGGTTGGGAATGAGGCTAGCAACGCCATCCTGTAAAAATCAACGCCACTGCAACAGAAACTTCAGGCCTGGGAAGGAATAAAAAATAATAAAAAGCACGAATGACATACAACTAAAACCAATTGGACTGTAAACATAACAGACGGAGAGCTAACGGAAGCAGAGGAAAGCATACTGATTAAAGGGATGAACTTCAATATTCGTAACAAAAGATTAAAACCTGAAGATGCTATAAGGGCGATTGAAACAGCACTAGAAGCATCTGCACAAGAAGCCGACATTTCAACCTGAGACCGAGTACTTCGGTCCAATCAATTGACGGGAAAATCCAAAACTGAATTAAATAATTATTATGACCCATTGCACAAGAGGTAGTTCACGTGGCCCAAGTGGTCCAGTGGATAAAGCTTTGGCATTTGAAACTATGGGCACTGGGTTTCAGCCACAGTGGGAACATCACCACTCCACCACTCACTGCAAAATACATCCCGTGAGGAGTCCCAAATAGGACGAAATACGCACCCTGGGTTCCACTGCTAGTCACCATCCATCAGTTAACTTCCAAAAAGAACGATGCTGAGAAATTCTTCTCACACATAAACAATCATGTCGACTCAATAAAATTCACTTTGGAAATAGAGAATGAAACTGGAGAACTGCCTTTGTTAGACTGCAAAGTACAAAGAGTAACAGATGACAGCATAAAAACGACGCTATATAGAAAAAATACACTTTTTGGGAGATTCCTTGATTATCATTCAGCTCATCTACTCACGGTAAAACGTGGATTAATACAAGGTCTTGTAGACAGAATACGTAGACCTACAAAAACACCAGATAACAAGTGAATAGAGATAAACGTCTTGTTCAAAATATTACTCGAAAACAACAAACCAAAAGAATTTTTCAGAGATAATATAAAGAAGAGGGTAAAACCAGAGAATGACAAGAAGTAGGAAGGCAAAAAACGACCACAATACCGTACAAAAATGGTACATCAGAGGCAATTAGAAGAAACCTCAAGAATATTGGGATTCGCACCACGTTTAAACCGACGAAACCTCGCCAGATACTAGCTTACTAGTTTTCTCGCCGGTCCCAAGCCCGGGTAAAGAGGGAGGGTTGGGGCGTGGTGCCAGCAACCCCACCCCTGTAATAAGCAATAGCCTTACTTTTCGCTGGAATCGGGGAAGTGAAATGACGCAGGCTGGTGAAAGCCTTCGGGAAGCCAGTCAGCCGATGTGCCTTCTTTCGATGAAAGCAAAAGTAAGGATGGGTACCTGGAATGTTCGTACAATGTACGAAACTGGAAAGGCTGCCCAGATAGCCGCTGAAATGAGAAGGTACAGAATAGAAGTGTTGGGAATCTGCGAGAGCAGATGGAACGGAACTGGAAGGTGCCAACTACCTACTGGAGAGACAGTAATCTATTCCGGCCACCTAGAGGACAACCATGAGCACACCGAGGGAGTGGCCATCATGATGTCACCAACAGCAACCAAAGCTCTCATGCAGTGGGAACCAATCTCCTCCAGGATAATGACAGCCAGGTTCAACTCAAAAGGAAGGAAAGTTACAGTCATTCAATGTTATGCGCCTACAAACGTCTCAGAACAAGAGAAGAAGGAGGCGTTCTACAGACAACTACAAGCAATAATGGACAACGTCCCAAATGGCGATATCAAAATCCTGATGGGCGACATGAATGCGAAGCTGGGAGGAGACAACACAGGAAGAGAACTCACCATGGGTCGTGAGGCCCTCGGTGAAATGAACGACAATGGTGAACTCTTCTCAGACTTCTGCGCCTTCAATGATTTGGTGATTGGTGGTAGTGTGTTCAAACACAAGGATATACACAAGACGACATGGATTTCACCAGATGGAAACACCAAGAATCAAATAGACTTCATCTCAATTTCAAGAAAGTGGAGACGGAGCCTACTGGACACAAGGTCAAGGAGAGGAGCAGATGTGGGTTCAGACCACTATCTAGTAGAAGGGACTTTCAAGGTGAAACTAAAAGCCTCGAGGATAGCTGGGGATAGGCCACAATGCAAGTTCAACACTCAATTACTGAAGGACACAACCACAAAAGACACCTTCACTGCAACTGTCAGAGCAAAGCAGGAAACACTACGCGACAGCACTGAAGAATCATGCGTGGAAGAACATTGGAAGTCTCTGAAGGCGATTCTCAACGAAACGTGTTCAACGGTTCTAGGAAGAAAGAAGAGACAAGACAAGGAATGGCTCTCAACGGACACTTGGAAATTAATAGAAGAGAGGAGAATGGTGAAAGAGAAAATGATTCAATGCAAGGACGGACAGGAGAAGGAGACGATGAGCTCAACTTACAAAGCATTGGACAAAGAAGTGAAGAAAAGTGCTAGGAAGGACAAAAGACGATTCTACGACAATCTAGCTACTGAAGCTGAAAAGGCAGCAGGCAAAAGGGACCTGAGGACACTATATCAGATAACCAAATCTCTATCCGGGAAGAGACCAACACAAGCGAAACCTATAAAAGACAGCCAAGGGAAGCCCATTACCAAGGAAGAAAAACAGATTAAACAATGGGCGGATCACTTCAAAGGACTCTTGAACCGACCACCACCTGCAACCCGTCCAGAAATACCAACAACAGCGCACACACAACTGCAAGTTGACACCAATCCTCCAACGAGAGCTGAAGTCTTGAACGCAATCAAACTTCTGAAAGCTGGAAAAACAGCCGGACCAGATGGAATACCCCCTGAAGCACTGAAAGCAGACCCAGAGACGACAGCAGACATGCTGACTCCATTATTGCAAAAGGTCTGGAAGGAGGGAAAGGTGCCTACTGACTGGAGGAAAGGTTACCTCGTGAAACTACCAAAGAAGGGCGACTTAGGACTCTGCAAGAACTGGCGAGGAATCATGCTCCTATCGACGCCAAGTAAAATCCTGAGTCGCATCATCCTGGAGAGATTAAAGGACGCACTGGAGACAGAACTCCGACCAGAACAAGCTGGATTCAGGAAAGGCAAATCATGTACTGACCAAATTGCAACTCTACGCATCATCATCGAACAAAGCATGGAATGGCAATCAAACCTCTACCTCAACTTTATAGACTTTGAGAAGGCCTTCGACAGCGTTGATCGTGAAGTAATTTGGAAATTACTCGAGTACTATGGCGTACCCCAAATATTCATCAACCTTATTCAACAGCTGTACGACAACGGCACCTGCCAAGTGATCCACAACGGAAGACTCAGCGAGGCGTTTGGAGTAAACACAGGAGTCAGACAAGGGTGCTTACTATCACCAATGATATTCCTAATTGTGGTGGACTGGATTATGCGTCAGACTGTGGGAAACGAGAAGACAGGAATATCCTGGACCGACGTGAAGAACCTAGAAGACCTGGATTTCGCGCGTGGATGATTTATGTTTGATGTCACACACAATCGAAGACTTACAAGCGAAAACCGACAAACTGGTCGAAGAAGCAGCAAAGACAGGACTCCAGGTAAACATAGACAAGACGGAGGTTATGAAAATAACCAACCAACAACAGCAACAACATCCAACGTCAATCACCATCAACGGGAGGGATTTGAAAGAGGTTACTTCATTCACTTATCTAGGGAGCATTGTCTCAACTACAGGAGGAGCGGACGAGGATGTCAAATCGAGAATCGGGAAGGCGAGAAACACATTCATCAGCCTGAAATCAATCTGGAAATCTTCGTCACTCAGCATCAACAACAAAATTCGGATTTTCAATACAAACGTAAAGTCAGTTCTTCTATACGGATCAGAAACTTGGCGGGTCACAAAGAATATTTCCAAAAGGCTGCAGACCTTTATTAACAACTGTCTTCGCTCAATACTGAAGATCAGATGGCCGGAAAGAATCACCAACAAGGAATTATGGGAACAAACAAAGCAAGAACCAATCGCCCAACAAATATGCAGGAGAAAGTGGAGATGGATCGGACACTCGCTGAGGAGACCGCTGGGTGACATCGCGCGTCAGGCCCTCGAGTGGAACCCGAAAGGGAAGCGGTGAGTGGGTCGTCCAAGGGTGACATGGAGGAGATCGTGTGAAGAGGAGTTGAAAGAATATGGATTCACATGGATGCAGGCGAAAAGTATAGCAGAAGACAGAAGAAAATGGAGACGTGCAGTTGAAGCCCTATGTTCCACTAGGAACCCAAGGGAACAATAATAATAAATAATAAAAAAATTAAACCGACGAATCTACTTAACAATAAAATCAACTGCAAGATACAATAAAAATGATGGATAAAAATAACGTAATTTACAAAATATATTGTCGCGAGTGGAAGACTAACTATGTGGGTCAAACTCCACTATGGATAACACTTTATTCTGATAAATCACACAGTGTTATACTGTGTGATGCGGGATGTTAAAGATTGTCAGCAGAGTAAGCAACGTGCCAATTAACCAGCTTGTTAATATTCTGGTCGACAGGCACATGGACTCATATGAAAAATGGGCTAAATCCATTTTATCTAACTTACGCCACCCTCTTCATTCACAACTCTCCCCTTGCATCTCATTAGGCAGAACCAGAAGCCTATATAGGAAACTATATGCTCGCACTAGTAAGTACAAAAACTCATCCATACCCTACTTAGCTCGTGTTCTATGCAATAAAGAAAGCATTAGGCACGATACCTATAACTTATAAAATAGTCAGTAGAACAAGTGGATCTCGTCTTTCCAACTCATATAATTTATACGTACAACATTTTCTTTCTTTCTTTTCCTTTTCTCTCTCTCTCTTTTTCTCTGTTATGTGCTGCTTTGTTTTTCTCTTCCTCACAAACTCTATTTAAAACATTCTTCGTTCTTTCACACTCTGTAAATACGCTAGCATCAACTTTTCTAACACCTTCAAACACTGTTTAATTTTGGCTTTGCTACCGACATGCTAATATGTTGTTGTCAAAACTAACTGAGATTACCTTTAATCTATGTAGAATTTTATTTATTGTTAATGTACTAACTGGATGCAAAACTGTATTAAAATGCTGAGAATTCGATTCTGTATCACAAGTACTGTTTTGGAATAAAGCAAATTATTATTATTATTATTACTGCAACACCTTAGTTCAACATTATGACTGCATATTATCAAAACACTCTTGAAAACAAAAAACAACAGAACCAAGGATAATTCAGATGTGTATATGGAAGGGTAATGTACTGAAGTTTCATTTTCAAACTTACTAAAACACTGAATAAGAAACCCAGAAGATAATGACAATGAACTAATAATTGTTATGTCATCACCAGTTTGCAAATTATAGTTCAACCTTTAATATGCTTCAGTTCAGTTTGATGGTAGAGGTGCGAGATTAATGAGTAAGATCGATGTGAATGCTTATATAAATAAATATTGATCTATATTTAGAAACAATCCTCTTAAATCAGCCTTCTCTTTTTCAAAAAAAACACCCACTTAATATGCTCCTCAAATTCTAGATGACTAATTTCAACTGAAACAGGAAAAACTTATTTGTATTACATACAGTTAGTTTTCGACGAATAACATCGTTAACAGAGAATGTTGAAAACGGACTTACATGATTTCACTTTACGACGTGTTAATTTGTGAGTACTGAAAAAACAGTTGGGAACTAGATTGATTTTATTTTTATTTTTTTGGTTACAGCTTGATTCCACACTGTATTTTTAGTACAAGTATAGAATTTTCAGCATGGATATCGGTAGCCCAAATTTTGCAGGCCGACCATAGATATCGGGTGTGCGTCGGCGGAGGATCGAACCTCGAACCATGTGCATGGTCGGTAAGAGTCCTAATCACTGCGCCACCGAAGCACGGACGATAACTTAGACTTCAACTTATATTGTCTAAGCAGCAGCCTTTCTCAACAAAAAAAAACTTTGATAGATTTTTCAAAGTCAAAGCTTTAGTCGTTAGTCTTAAGTGTCTGCAATAATTCATTGGAATTTCTGATGTGAAATTTCACTATTGTTAAGCATCCACTAACATATGTAGTGAGTCATTATCTTTAGCATTATCAGATCTCAATTTTTCAGAATTTTAATCAAGTTCAACTGCTTTTATCCTCGTATAAAGCGGTAAGTGAATTCGAAAGATAATTTAAGTTGTGACAAAATTTAGTAACCAGATATCCGGATGTCTGTGATTAGCACTCCTCTGTGTTAGCCACGATAAAATCAATGAACTCTCTAACAGTTTTCTACAAGGAAATATGTCAAGAATTTTATTTGGATAAATTCCCAGAAATTAATTGGGCTAGAGCTGAAATCTGTAACTCACCATATAGTGTTCAGATCAATGAGTCACAATCATGTATTAAGAATAGCTAAAAGCATAGTGTTTCTTTGGTAACAAATAAGTTGCTATAGAGTAGAGCGCCCAACATGTTATTATCAGATTTAAGTCTTAACCAAATAATCTTATTTCTTTAGCGTAGAAATACATCAACAAAGGTTTTGATCTAGTAAAATTCAGCTAAGTAAAAGGAACATGAAGTAATGAGGTTTTTTTTAACAGCAATTACTTACTCAGAACAATTTAAGCAGACCAAAAGAATCATGGTTGTTTGTTTATAACTTGGATGAATATGACTGGAAAACTGTAAACAATTGGATTACAAAAAATTCATATAATTCATATATTACTCTCAAGTCTGTATGGAGGTCAACAGCACTCAACACGAAAAATAAGATCCGCATTTTCAACTCCAATGTGAAGTCAGTGCTACTAAACGGATCAGTGACTTGCACTGCGCGTCATAAAGAGCACCCCAATCAAACTACAGACCTTCATTAACAGCTGTCTTCGCTCAGTACTCAAGATCACATGGCCAGAAAAGATCTCTGCGAGCGAACCAACCAGGAACCGATTGTGAAACACATAGGCAGGAAGAAATCGAGATGGATTGGACATACTCTGAGGAAACCATCAAGTGACATCACTAGACAAGCCATTGCTCGAGTGGTGAGTTGGTCGTCAGTGCATGGGTGGGGTGACTTGGAGGAGGTCATGTGAAGAGGAGATGAAAGCATGTGGGCAGACATGAAGCCAGGTGAAAACTCTAGCAGAGAACCGAAGGCAATGGAGACGCGCGGCTGAAACCCTATGTTCCTCTAGGAATAAAAGGATATAATAATTACTTTCTGAGTTAATACTTGGATTTCATATTAGTTGGAAGTACTCAAACAGAACCCCTTATCTTGCTGGGAAACTTTCGTCTACTACACGGTTAACTTAGATAAAAAGTGACCATGACCATTCTGATTAAGTTAACAATATATCTGTGCCACATACAGTATTCATAATTAAATATCTTTTTCCAAATCCTACTCTATTATTACTCTTGAGGATTGAAATAGTGAGGTATTAGAACCGGTGGTCCAGTAGTTCAAAATTAAGTGTCTACATAAATGGATCACAAACACCTACTTAGTTGTATATTAATTCTTAATTGACATCGATTATTTTAAAGTTCACAGTTTTCCCACAAACTTTTGAAAGATAAATCAAGGTTGTGAATGTGTCTTTATTTTATCCTCTTCAGGAGGACTTGGTCGATAGTTCCATTCTCTAAATGTTTTAAGCAAAACCAAAATATCGCCGGAAAGATTTACAAGGCTTCGAATCTGACCCAATTTGCAGAGTAGTTACTCACACAGAGTTTTGCTAATCTGTCAAAAAAAACTTTGCTAAATTAAGAGTGGCATGACTATTTACTGTTTGTATCATATTCTAACATGCAGAGCATCGTGCTTCCACTTTACCTGTGTACTTCTTGACTGATGAAAGCATAATGTGAAAGACAACGTCGTCCAGATTGGGTGATTCACAACACGACAGCTGGTTGGTGTTATTTAGAAAATGCTGAGCTGCAATACCATGATCCAAACAAATTCACAAAATTTCATGCCGGATCGGCCGTGGCCCGGATTAACAACGACCGCGCTTCCTGCTGCCGTGTCACAGGGCAGGAGTGATAAATATGCTACTGAGGCACACAAAACAACAAAGAACAAACAAAAACAGGCCGCGTGTGACCGGCCTCAAGCAGTTGTCCCCTGGGCTCTGCGGTCACGCAACCAACTTCCACGGTGTGGGCAGCCGGGAAGTAACAATCGCCCTCACAATCCGAAATGCACACAAAACCTCTCTAATCCTCACTTATCTTTGTCTTCATCTTCATCTCTATTACCTTGCCTTCCTTCCACTGATGCAACTCCTCTACTTGATGGCTCCTCACTCCCTCTTCACTCTGTGTCCACTAAAAACGACGAAAGCCAAAAAACCACCACGGATAGTCTCCTAAAGCCACGCTGAGCTGCAAGAAATGTTTACACAGACTGATGACCTGTTTTCTGTCGTATGTATCGTGAAATGTTTTACTTAATTAATATCTGGTGAAATTAAAATTTAAAAGAAACTGAGCAGCGTCATGTTCAGTTCTGGATATCTTTGTCCTGTGGCTTTAAAAACCACCAACGAAATGTTACTGGCAGGATAAAAGGCACAGGTATGCCATCATTATAACTGTTAATTAAAAAAGATCTCAAGGGTTAGTGCCGTGTTTTGATTTGACTACTCCCAACCCTTTTCCAGTCTAATCTAACCTCAGCTAATATTTGTGGTCAAGGACAGAGATCAACCGTCATGTGTAACACGTGAAGATTCATAACCGTATTGATTGTCTCTTCCTTCTTATCCATCACTCTACGTCATCATCATCATACTGTTCCCCTTAACATGAGAAATTGAACGAAGGCATTTGTGATTAGTCTCAGATGTTATATTTTCTATCTTCAGAGGTGACATCTTGTGTAGTTAACTATATTGCCGATCCCCGTAAGGAACTTAAATCGAATGAGTTTCATATTCTGGATCAACGAAGTTTTCCCTGGTATAAGTCAATCACTGACATATCGGCGCCGACTAGGGTCACGCACCAGTAAATCCATAGTGGCAATTATTAAGAGTGATAAAATTAGCCTTCTTGCACGAGAATCACTTTC